ATTGAACAGGACATGAGAATGGAATTTAAGATGCAAAATAAAAGCCTTTAACATCTCTTCATAGCTTCAATTTGAATTTACAGACAGTTTGGAGGATGAGAAGTTTAGTATTAAGACTGCAGTTTGAAAGATACTGAGGAATTTAAATCCAAGGCTTGAAGTTCTCATAAATCTTTCTATTAAGCTCCCTGACAAGTTTCAGAAATCCAGGCAATTGGATCTGCAGTTATTTACGTGCTACCTGACAGTAGGTAATAAAAGCGTCCTACTTTCTTAGAGGCATATAAAAACCTAAACTGTTTTGAAACATCTTTAATTTACACATTAGATTTATTGATATGCCTTTCACTTTTTTATTTATTTTATTTTATTTTATTTATTTTATTTTTTTTTTTAATGAACATAGAGGGAGAAAAATACCTGCAAAATCCTACAAGGCTTTATATGTCCAGATGTTCTTTCTGGATGCCACTCTACCTACTTATTCATGCTCTCCAGCATTGCTCAGAACAATATCTAAGAGCCCCAAGACAGGGAAAAAACAGCACTGTGTGAGTACTTAAAAGCAATTCATGCATTAGCGTTAGGTTCCTTATGCTATGAGATATTTAAATGAATGGCAAACTTCAAGCAGCTGAGTAATCCTGTTTAAATCCTGATACTTTGATGAACACTTAATAAAAACTTTTAATTGAAGGAGGAAAAACCTGAGGCTTTTAAAAATGAAGTACACATTTTTTCTGTATGTACATATTGCCTCATTAATTCCCCTCCTTACTTGTAGACTGTAACACGTGACATTTTGATGATGTGGTGACATCTGCCTGGTGACAAAAAATTGCAAGTTCTCTCCTCTGTGCATTACTTTGTGGTGCAGGAAGGCTGAAAAAGCTGAGACTGAAGAGGAATTGCAGTAATTGCTCAACCAGCAGGAATATTGCAGTGCAGTATTGTAATGATCATTGTAAAAGGGTATATTTAATATTCCTGTGGGAGCGAACTTTTAGAAGTAGCTTATTCTTCACTGTTCACATTCCACATATTTCCTTTGCCTCTTCCACACAGGGCATGATTTCACCCCTGCTACTTGGACAAATGAACACAGAGACTGAGTGAAACTTTTTCCAGACCAATTCACTGAGCTTCAATTTTTATATTGAATTTTTCCAAGCTACTTATGGGATTTTCCCAGTAGAATTTAGTCATGTATTTCCTATTAAATTACAAATTAAGTCCCCAAAGTCATTGTATGACTTTCAAAATCACAGCCTTGGTGCTGTAACACCAATAATGATTTCAGTCAATTGGGTACATCAGTTCCCTAGTACAGCATGTATTTTACTTACCTGTAAAAGACAAATCTGGTTTATTTTCCTCTGTGGTCAGATTTGCCTCACACGATATGTTATGACACATTGGAAAAGTCTGAATATTGAAAGAAGTAAGGAAGTAGGTAGGCTGTTGGCTTTGGGTCTTGAGCGTGGTTACCTTATAAGCAATGCTGATGCATAAATCAAGAAGTAATTGCTGCTAAAATGACAAAATATTTTCAACACCTGTTTTTAGGATTTTATTCCCTGATTTCTTTATGTATAATGTTTTCAAATGGCCCATTATGCGTGTGTACAGTAATCTTTTCCTTATATGAATGGGTCTCCATTGGTCTTACTGGAATTGCATGTGGCATGGAACAAAATCCCAAGTACTTCTGGCACTGCATGCCTGGCTCTATCTCTGCAAAGATCAACTGGACTTTGATACATCTCTGACACATACATAGGCAATACTCAAATCAGGATAATCTGTATTGTATTCATCTTGGTAGATCGGTGTTGATAAAATTAAAGCTAAAGTTAATTTTTAAGGGGAACTTTTATGAGTTGAATGTGATGAATTGGTGTACAAGAAGAGGAAATAAGAATAAGTCAAAAGCCTGTAAAAAAGAGAATGAGAAAAAAAAATCAAAAATCAGTTCCGTGTTGTTAAATAAGCACCAATTATTAAACACCGTAATAATAAAAAGTTTGTTCATGCAAAACATAAAGCTGTACAGGATCACATAATTTAAAAAAAAAAAAAAGGAATAAAGCATTTTTCCTCACACTGTTTTGCTACACTGTGAAAATTCACTCTTATACTATGAAATTTCAACACTAGAAGAGACTGAGTAAGAGGGGTCAAAGAAAGGAGACCTTTAATGAATTCCAGCATGTTACATCTGTGTTTTATGCATGGGAGTTATTTTGCTACACCTTCCATTTTCTTTGACCACTAAGGACTGAACTGATGAAGCAAAGCTTTCCATTAAAAATGCTCTCATAAATTATACTGCAGATGTGAAAAGAACAAAGACAAGGAGATAGAAAGCTTTCATAAATTGAAGACATATGGCCAGGAATACCTAGGGACCTTGTGTGCTTTTTTGTTAAGTATACTCTTCAATGGATTACCAATTTTTTGTTTGTCTGTTTTTGAATTATAACATTCTTGCAGTATTAAAGAGGGTTGTTTTTTGGTTGTTGTTGGTTTTGCCTGTGAATAATGAAATTCATTTTATAATTTTTCCATATTTCTTAGCTTCACTATGTTGTTACAGCACAGGCTTTAATTTTTTACTTTTCAATAGAACTGTGCAATGCAATAGTGGCAAAAAAGGTGCAAGGTCAAAACCTGTTTTGGTATGGAAGAGAAAAAAGAGAAGAGGAAGGGAATAAGAAATATGGGATTCAAAATATGGGAGCAGGACTTATAGGAAAGTTAATACTGTACTATTATATTTATTGAGTTAACTCAGTAAAAATCTCACAGATTACGAATGGTATCAAACAGTATTGTATTTGTGCAGTGTTCTGTCTTTTTGGCTTGGATGCCTCAATTTATTATGATGCAAAGCAATTCATTTAGCTTTATTAATAAAAGTAATTTAACAAGCAGTGCCTAAGCTGTCTCTCATTGAAACTGGAGAGAACGTTCTCCTTGGCTTTGAGACAGAAGGGAATAAGCCTTTACAATGTTATGCACCAGGGGAGCATAGGCATTTCTGGAAAAAAACTTCTATTTCTCCATACAATGGGGCAAAGTGAAGAACAGGGAAAATACATTAAAACTTAGATGAAATACCAGTGGTGAAATACCAAGTCAGTTGTCTAACTCGTTGATAATATTTATTCCATAACTTCAAATTATTAGGTGGAATAAATTGAATAAAATCTGTACAAATAAGGTTCACAGAGATGTGTGACTACATCATACATTGCAAGCAGAAGTACAGCATTGCAAATGCGCTTTGCAAAGCAGCTACATGAGGAAATAAATGTATACTATAATGTAAGCCAATGAAGGGTTAGATAAAACGTGTTGTTTATCTTATGCCATTTCATACTAAAGAAAGAGTGTCCCAAAGACCCCTCCCTGTTCTTTCTTCAGATACATGAATTGCATCTTGAGTGCATTAAAACCAGAGGTGTCAGCTCACGTGGACTGGAAAGGGACAAGCCTCACCTGAGGAAAACCCCAGCCACAGTGTTCCCTACCAGGAAATATGCAGATTATCAGTGACTGTTCTGTGATGTATCACTAGATACGTGTTTTGACTGTTCCAAGTGTTTGCCTTGACTGTAGACTTGTTCTTAATGTTAGAAATTTCCATGCAGTTGTCTGTTGTTATCAGTCTATCTGGACTCTAAGGATACCTTGTCTCTTTCAAGAGCTCAGGAGATACAGTGCAGAGGTTAAGGTCTTTGCTTAATGGAGGTGGAGGGAATGAACAGTATGGTAGCAAACCTTGACCAAAACACCAAAGAAGGCCTTACCTTCTATCAATGATATTCATCACAGACTAAACCAATATCACTCCACTACTTGCATTTTGCTTGAATTTAGATAAGGAAAAAAGCTGTTTTGTAGCATTGAGGAATTATTATAACTTGATATATTCTCACCAGAATGTCATATATTCTCTCATCCTGCAATTAATCTTGTAACGGAGCAAACAATGACATAGAATTAATCAACCACTGTGACAAAAAAAGATTGTGATGGAAAGATGAACCCAGCTAAAATTAATTTTTTGAGCGACAGCTTGAAGCTCAAACAAGTGGAAAACATGGTGCAAATTGTACCTAGCTTCAAGAAAGGGATATTAATGAGAAGTGCAATGGCACAGCAATACTAATCGGTTGTTAAAACAAGATCCTCCTTGGACCACTGAGTGAATATCCTCCCCTTTCCTGTAGTTTCCCTTCTCTTGAATAACACACTGGAGGGAAGCAAAAACTGTACTGCACCACTCACCTGGAGCCAACAGCAGAGCCAAAATGTCACTGCATCAGAGGGAGCAGTTGTGTGGGTTTGTGCTCATGTGCAAATAACTGAGCCAATGTCCCCTGGCAAAGGCAGTATGATTATTGAAAATAAAAAGTGATTGAGCTTTCCTTGTATGCTCTGTTACTTGCTAGATATAAGATAAACAGAAAATGTCCCGTGAGCTACCTTTATGTCTGTAATACACTGACACCTGTCAGGAAAGGAGAGAAACCCTGGAATCCTCCTGCTGGCATCATTCTGCAGCCGCAGACAGGACAAGCATCAAGCAAATTACGTGAAAGTCAGTTGATGCTCAAACCCTTAAGCCCCAATTCCTGCCTATAACACAGCAGACATCACCACCTTCTTATATGTAGGGACGTTTAGCTTTATATATTTTATTATTTTATTTTACAAGCTGAGAAGTTTTCCGGGCTCATTATTTCCTTGAACTGTCAGAGAAAATCAGGTAACCTTTCCCAAAAATGTATGCTTTCCTCTATTGCCAGGGTTGATGGAAGTCAAGGAGCAGCCTGATAACTTCTGCCATAGAGTCCAGGCTGAAGAGAAATTAACCGTCTCAGTTTACAGCTGAATTTCATCTTGAATAGCAGAAAGGGAGGGTAAGTCTCAGCTGTTCCTCATGTCCTGCCCAACTGCTGTTTATCGTTTAATTACCTCTGTTAGTGCTGAGTACCTGAAATGTTGCTGAATTCATTGCAATATTCTTACTTTTCTAAACAAGCATTTTTGAAAATATCAATTTTATTGTGTGGTTTTCCTTTTCCTTCCAGAGTTCAAGTCTGACTGATCTGTTCAGGCATGCAGGTTCATTCAAGGTAACTTGCTAACTTTTTCATTTTTGAGCTTAAAAAGGCTGATTTTCTTTGAATCCTTCTTTTGTTTGTTTGTTTTTCCTTACAAGTGTGATTTTAAAACTAATTAATATTGAAGTTGTAACAATGATAATAACATACATGACTTCTCTTGGTTTTCAAACCCATATCAAGATTTTCAAAATCTTGTTTTTAAGTAGCAAAAGCAAACATAGAAATCTCTTAACAATAAGTTGTCTCCTTTATCTAAGTGTATATTAGATTAATTCCCTTAATGAATATATTTAAAAAGTACTGTGAGACAGAATAATATTAAGAATCTTTAGGAAGAAAGAAATACAGTAATAAAACATTATTGATTGGCTTAAAGATGTCTTGTCCTATGTCTCATTATTTCATAAGGAAACTTTATCATCAGCTGATTAATGATAATATACTTTTTCTGTGATTCCTTAGCATGGCTAAAATTGGACGTTTATGTTGAGCTACAGACAGACTGTTGTGATGTACGTGTCATATATTAAGAGTGAATATTTTGAAACTTCTCCTTTACTTGCTTTCTAAGTTGTGTGGACTGCAAAAAATGCAGATCACTTAGTTGATAACAGAAGATAATATGGCCTCTAGAGAGTGTTAAGTCTGACTTTTGTGCAACGTTATATCTTAAGCTAGTGAGGTTTCTCTGATTGTAAAAAGAGACCTATCTTGGGTACCGTTAGTGGAACAAGCATCGTTATCAGCTTTGTACATCTGCAGTTTTCTTCCTTCACTTCTCAAAAAATTCTTGCTTTCACTGCATCTTTGTAGGATTATTTTTGAGTGATTTTTTTTCATACATCCAATTGAGACACACAAATCTGTCCCTTACTCACCTAAGGTGGGGTGAGCTATTACAAAATCACTTCTAAGTGTCATTGTCACACTATATTCAGAATCTGATTTTTAAGTCAGGTTTCTAGATTAATGTCTCTTCCCTTCAAGCCTTCTCTAGTCCAGGCAATCTGATTCAAATTACTTCAACAGCTCATTGTAGTTCATGTTTTCTACATCTTACCCTTTTAATTTTAATTCTAAATAATTAAAAGATACGAAACAACACATAAATACCAACTGAGAGTAGTACTTTAACCCCTGGATAATTCTGGGTAAAATGAAATGATTACTACTTGTGTTTTCTGAGGAATATCCAGTTTATACATCTTAATATATCATTATCCTTTTCTACACTGTCTTTGTATGATGTGACCCAGCTTCTTGCCTTAAATCTTCGTTACTTCACAAATTTCACAGGATGAGTCTATTTTCTTTTTCTTGTATATTTATGGAAATAATGTACTGAAAATCTGAGAAGAACACTACTACAACCTAGAGCATACCTCATTCTGCTGAATTTTGCAAGAATTAAAATGGCTTTTTCCTATTTTCACTATTTCTTTTTTACTTATATATAGCTAACATTCTTAATTTTGTTTTACTGCTTAGAGTATGACAGAACAAGGAAAGTGTTCTATTAAGACACAATAATCTTATTATTTAATTGATTATAATTGCAGAAAAAATGCACTCAGTTGGATGCAGGTCTTCATACTCAAGGCTACCTCTAGATCCTCTCACCATAAATAACCTGATCTGCGAACTGCAGTAGCTCATCTTTCTTCTTCACATCTCTCCCACATTGAACCATACAGTGACATCTGCAGCTAAGCTCATCACACTGTGCTCCAAGGTTAAACACTCACAGAGCTGGGAGAAAGCAGAATTTTTTTCATTCCCCATCATGGATGGGTTGTAAAGGTTTCAGCTTAAACAAATCCAGCAAAAATACTTTTTAAAAAATCTAAAATTTTAGTTGAAATCTTACATTCAAGCTTCTGTTTTGTGTAATGACTTTACAGCACACAAAAAAGGAACAGATGTGATTATAATCTTCCTGTGACTGTTCTGCCTGCTGTATTGATTTAGTTGTCTCTCCTTGTACTGGATTTTTCTCCCATGATTTTCTTCTTGTAAGAAAAATGTCATCAATTAAAAATTCTCATCTCTGCTGATTATTTTTGCAAACACCTCTTGGAATTATACTTTGGGTTTACTATAAATCTTTTGTTTTTCAGAACTTTCTAGTACAAGAAAGTACAAGAACTTTTTCTATACCTTTCATCAGTAGCTATGTCTGTGGTATCTGGGCTTGTGACTCAGGACAAGGTGGTAGTCATTCCTGAGCCGGTTGCTATCCTGTTTGTCTGAATGCTTTGAGGGGTCCATTTACTGGCTCAGGAACGACTACCATCTTCTACACAATCCTCACAGTGCCTGTTTTGGGAACACCCTTGCCCGCAAGCACCTGGAGGAAAGGATCATCAGAACAAAGATGAAATAAGTTACCTGTCTGCAGTCTAGAAGATCTCAGGACAACAGGCAGCTGTGGGCTCCCTGTCATCCTGACAGTATCTGTAGTTTGAAAGGAAGCAGGGAGAGAGAGAAGGACTGGGAGACCCCAGAGGAGCATGAGAAACATCTGATCTTGTCCCTCGTGGCACTGGCATATGGACCCTCATGAGTATTGGCCTTTCTCTTCTGGTTTTCAGCATATATTTGAGACTTCTGGGGACTCCCTTGCCTTGATATGCTGTTGGCATCCAGCTGTACATGTCTTCTGCAACAGATGTGCTCTCCAGATGTCCACAGATTGAACAGAAGTTGATGCAGACCAGCAGCCAACTACACTCATGTCCAGAGGAAGAGGGTGCTGATAAAAGGCAACGCTCCAGGAATCTGTCCCAGTGCTGGCTTCAGCTGCTGCTGTTGAAGCAGACTAGAAGGTTCTGCACCAACAAAGGAGATCCTCCCCTGTACAGGAGCTTGAACACATCCTGTATGCTGGTCACCATGAAGCTGTGCAAGCGTTGGGGGTCTCAAATCTTTCAGATAGTTATAGGTTGTTGGGACAGTGGCTGAGCACTGCAGAGCACTTCAGTCACTTTCAATATCCTACCAAATATGTATATATATTTTAGAGGGAGGGGGGTTCCAGATATTAATTATATATGGCATAATCCAAAGTAGTTTGTCTTTCAAAAAAGATATATTCCATGGCAAGCTTTATTTTGAAATTGGTTGTGAAATCTGGATATATCTAAATTTATTTATTTATTTATTCCTAAAAGAAATAAACACAAACCATACAATTTGTATGTAGTTAGTGCTAGGGTCCACACACAAGTTAAACATCTCCCCAGGCAGCACACTGCATGTTCTTTGTGATATTTCTCTTATCAAGCCTATTAACATTAGTACCTCCTGATCGAGTTTCCTTTTTGCTTTTTGTTGTTGTTTTCTTTTTAGGCTTATATTTCTTTTCCTTGTTGTTTCCTTTACTTGGCACTTCTCTTCCCCCCCCACCCCTGCAGTCTGGTAGGGAGTGGTGATGGCTTTTGCATACAGGGTATAGCAGAAAGGAGACTTTTGTCTGGTTCCTCTCTTCCTCTCTTTTATAATATAATTTCAAGTGAGATAACATGTTCCTGCTGTATCTAAATGCACAAATAGTTTAAACACAATAGAAATACAAACAACAAAAATAGTTCTAGCCCAGAAATACTTCAGCGGAATCATTTTGACTTATGACTACTGGTTGTTTTTTTTTGTTGTTGTTGTTGCCAGTCTGGACATTCCTTCTGCTGGATCTTTTTTTTTTTTTCATGTCAATCATCTGCTAACAGCAACAGACTCCCATTTTAAAGAGTAGATCTTTTATCAGAAATCAACTTTATCTTCAAAACAGTTATCTTTTAAATTACTGCCATGGAAAGGATGGGAGGAAAAAGGTTTATTTTCCAAAATTTTCTCCAAGAGCTTGCCTTTTATGCACAAAGGCTCTGGAAGGAAAGGCATCATTAACGCAGCATCAAAGAATCCAAAGAAAGAATAACCTTTTCTCAAAGCAGGGGTGGCTATTTAATGAACAATTCGCTTAATTTTTAGACACCTTCTCCTTTCAGATGAAAAGCAATAGAAATACATGTCAAAGAAACCAATCACGGCAAAATCTCTGTCCAATAGGCAGACTCTAATAGAAAGAGATGATAGTACAAAGGACTGAAAAAAGCAGCTCTTCTTTCTCTTTCTTTCTTTTGTTGCGAGCACAAAGATAAGTGCATGGCAATCAGATGATTTTAATGAACAATCCAGTTGTTTGGCCTGGATGGTATAATTCCAGATGCACTCTGTAGAAGTTGTTTGAATTTGAAATAGTTCCTTTCTAAATTCTCACTCAGCTGGCAGTAGTACACTGCTGGCTGTCAAGGCAGCCCCAATGCAGTGGAACTGTTTTCTCTGGAGGGTGAAGATAAAGGTGTGTGAGAGAGCAGTTGCAAGAAAAAATAGGTTTTGAAAGCTTGTTTCCCTCCATACTCTGCAGCAGTTCTGTTTTATCACAGTGTGCTGGACTGGTTTGATTTTGAGTAGGGAGTTCCATCTGCACTGAATATAACATCTGCAGTGATTATAAAAAGCCCTAAAATTTCGAGCTAAAACTTATACTGCGTGCAATCAAAATCTTGGAATACAAAAAAAATATTATTATTATTTTTTTTTTAACAGCTGGTTTTGGAACTATCTGTGTGGCAGGCATAATGTAGATGTGGGAGACGGACAGTAGACCACTGAGAGGAGTAATTGAGCATGATAGTACAAAGATTCAATTAGCAAGTACATAGAAAATCTTCAATGTTCAGTGAAAGTACGTAGTAACAAGATGGTTGAAGAAGTCATGTAGAAAACCTGCTTATTTTTATAGTCTTTTAAACACTTTGAAAGGTCTCTTAAACTTCTAGGCAAATATTAAAGAAATCAGTATTTGGGGACATTTGAATTTAGCCACTGTCCTCTTTTCCCTCACTATTCTCCACTACCAAAGTCTGTTTAGCATTGTTTGAAAAATCAGGTGTACTTTGAGCTGTATTTTACACTAAGGATGGCTTTCTCTTCTTTCCATCGTCTTCAAA